AATCCCTGCCCAGAGTCAGCGCAAGCTGTGGCTGTGCTCAGATAAAGCCCCTGCACCAGCCCCAAATGATCGCACCTCCACTGTGGTAAGCCAAAAGCCCCCAGCCCCTCAAAACCTTGTGGATCTGTGCCTACTTATCATTATGATGCTGCTCCTGCAATCCTCTGGTATGTGTTACTCAGTCGCCATCTTCCGAAAGTCTACTTTATTTCAAGAAACGCTGAATATGAGTTCTTTCTGTTAATTCACTTGATATTTTCCTTCTTGTTGGTAGGTGGTTGTTGTTAGGGCTATATGGTCGGTTCAGACACATTTACCTTGTATAGAACAGAGAGTACTGCCCAGTTCTGTCCCATCCCTAACATCTCTTGCTGTTTGAGTCCATAGATGAAGCTACTGTGTCAGTCAACCACACCACGGGTTGCCTCCTTTTCATTGACTCTTATCAAGCACAATTTCCTTCTCCAGGGAGTGGTCCCTCCTGAAAACATATTCAAAGTCTTGCTATCTTTTTTTTTTGGACTAATGCAGTGCTGTTTGTTTTCTTAACTGGTGCTTCCATGGACCTTGATTGTGGATCCAAGTAAAATGTACTTCTCCATAACTTTAATCTTTTCTCCTCTCATCAGGTTGGTATTTATTAGTCCAATCGTGAAGACTTCTGTTTTCTTTATTTGGTGAGATACAATCCATATTGAAAACTATTCTTTGATCTTCATTGATAAATGTGTCAAGTCCTTCACTCTCTGCAAACAAGACTTAGCTGCATATTGCAGGTGGTTAATGAGTTTTCCTCCCCTTCTGATGCCAGTTTTCTTTAAGTAATCCAGCTCAATGTACAAACAGAAAATATAGCAAAGGACTACAACCCTTACACCTTTTCTGATTTTAAGCCATGCAGTATACCCTTGGTGCATTCAAACAATGGCCTCTTGGTTTATGCACAAATATTCCATGAACACAATTAAGTGTTTTTCGATGTCCATTAAGGCTCCTTTTGGGAGAGCGCAGATAAAAGAAACATGGAGGTTATTCACTTACCTTAAGTACTTAAAAGTATTTTGGGTTAAGCATTTTAGGTGTGCTAGACATGGTGGGGGGTGGTCAAGTAAGCAGGATTTGGAAGTGCAGTTGGTCATGTACACAGGGTATTCACAAACTAAACCTTGATGTCTTGGTAAATGCTAGCACTTTACTCTATCCAGCATCCCTCAAACACCCTTTGAGCAGTTAGCAGTAAATGGCCAGTAAAACACTAATATGAGAACACATTATTTATGTGTGCTAAGTTTAACATGAAAGCCAACTAATTAAATTTGGGAATGTTATGTGCACCCAATCTCACCATTTGATAATGAGATAAAGTGTTAGGTTTAATACAGTGGGCTTCAAAATCCTTTAACTTTTCGGTCCTTTTTTTTTTTTTCCCCATGAGAACGAATGAAAACTCTTGAGTTAAAGGCAACTGCAGAGAAAGCTTCTTCCCCAGTTTTTTTGGGCCAGAACTTGTTTTTAGATGGGGAATAAACTAGAAAAAGTTGATTTGATGAGGGGAAGAGAGAGATATGCTTTCATAAGGTAGTTTCATGTTCTTTCTCCCCCCAAAAAAGTGATGTTTATTTCCTAAATATCATGAGTTTTAAGCTTCCAGGGGGAAAATTAAAATGTAAGTTAGTTTACTCTGAGGGATAGGATGATTATGAGAAGATTGAGAAATGCAGCAATATTAGGAAACAAAAGAATTATGGAGGATAAATAGATCAGATACTTAATAGTCTTACATTTTTGATTTTGAAAAAATTTATTCTTACAGTCAAACAATCTTATTAGATTCTGTAATCTTTATTTGCATATTTGAAAATATTTCTCAGTGTGAAATTGTATATTAAAAAACATAAATCCAGACCACCTGGATTTTTCACTACCCTCTGCTGTCCATAAACCATCAGGCCTCTGTTAACACTGGGTGCTCATGCCAGCCTCAGAATTTGTGCCCATCTTGTTAAGGCAAGCGTTTTTCAGACTATGTACTATTATATTTAAACTATTGCTGTTGTTTTTAGAATAGTTTCTTGCCCTTAACTGAAATTGCAAGGTTGTATATGCATCATATGGTTTTTTCAAATGATAGGGTATGATAGGGTAGAAGAGTGTTGCTGTTTTGCTGTAATGTAACATCTACTCCATTTCTGTTTCCAGGTTCTCTGCTTCTGGAGTCCAAAATCAATCCTAACACTGCGTACCAGAAACAGCAGGTAAAAATTTGAAAAATGTCCTATCTTGCTTATTAGTCTCTGTTTGGTAAATGAATAAAAATGTCCCATCTAATAAAAATGTCCCATCTAATGCTGAGCATGGAGGTCACATGTGGCCGCCTCTGATTTCCTTGGGAGGGGAGAATCCATCTCTACATCAGCCCAAGGCCATTGCCACTAGGCAGAGTTCAGGCACCCTCCATTCTTCTTTTGCCCTATTCTGATACCAGCCATTCTTATCGAACACAGCAGCCATACTAAGATTATTAGGATTTATTAGGGAATTTAACAGATAACCTTGCCTTTGATTCACAACAATACCCTCCTCAACGAGCAAGCAGTCAAGCCTCTCAGCCACATGGTCCATTGACCTCTGCCTTGTTTTGTGACCCAGGAAGCCTGCCAGATGCTCTGCCTCACAGGCTAGTGGTCTGTAGTCTCAGTGCTGCAGCTCCTCTGCGAGGGTGTCAGTGGCCTTTGTCGCCGCCACCTCATGCAGGGATCTCAGAAGAAAACACCCTGCTGCAGAAATTTCTTCCTTGATGTTCCTAGGAATTCTCTCTTCCTGCTTCTGAAATGCTTCATTATAACCAGGGAAATGAAGAAATTGTCAGATCCTCAAGGTAGAGGCCTCCACATTTTATTTGCATGGTTCCACCCAATTGTTTGGTGGAACTTAGAGAAATAGAAGAGCCATACAGCATTTATGGGTTTCAGTTGCTGTAGCAACCCAACCTTAATTCTTAAAATTTTAAATGTTATAGTTTAAAGGTAACTTTGCATTTGACCCCTCCTTCATTTTTCCTTGTATCCTTTTAATGTGCAAGAGATAACTGAAATGAAAATTTTTTTCAGTACTGACTAGCAACAATGCCAAATGGTACTTAGTTAATGAATGTACACATACAAAAACAGACAAATACAGTATACTAAATGCTCTCCAAAGCCAGTGAAATAAATAGACGTACAACTTTTCAGTAAATATTGCTTCTGGGAATAAACTGGTTTTGTTTGTTTGTTTGGGAATAAACTTTTGCTTCACTGTTGACTATTAAAATACCAAAAAGTAGTTATTGCCTGCTTTGTTTTCCACATGAGATGATGTCTGAACATTGTGAGCTGTTTGAGGTCACACAGAAAGCAGACAGGAAAGTTGATATTAGTACCATTTACTTAATGGTTTTGTTTTCCCCCTAAATATTATTAGTACATTATATTAGTGGCTTTTTAACAACTTTGTTACACTTAGTATTAAGAAAACTGAGGCTTGATTTAAATGGGTGAAGATGAATATTTTCTGTGTTTACATTTTAGGATTTCAGTCAGCTGATGAGTAAAAGTGCAGCTTAAGGACAAGGAAAAAGAGTAAATCTTTTGAGAAGAGATCATCAAATCTATATGTCTTAGCCTATACGTTATTGCAAGCTAGATGATTTGGTAAAAATTAGGCTTTTCAAGAAGAACGGGAACAATTGCTAGAAAATGCCCTAGGGAATTAAGGGAGTGCATCCGACTGCATCCGACTGCAGATGCACCTTCCACATGCCTTTGAATATGTATAGTAGAGCAATTTGTGCAGTTGCACTAAATCTGTTTATTACTAACTTGGTAGGCTGCTTTTTGTCCTTGTTGAACTGATAAATATAATTGTTGGAATTTCAGGAGACAGCTCATTTGAGTCAGATCCCTCACCCCCTAAAATGATTGTTATTAGGCCCGGCCCTGTACCATCACCAAGAATTGGCACCTCACCTTTAATTTTAAGGTTGGGTAACTAAGGCTCAGATAGGTTAAGTAACTTTATATCACCCACCAAGTAAACGATACTGAGTGATGAATGCTCAGCTCACAGGTTGTCTTGCTCTTTAATGTTATGTAAATATGTCCTCACATTGAAATGATTAAAGGAACCCTTACTCTCAAAAGAATCATCATCATCATATTCAGGAACGGATTTCCTCCCTGTGATTTACAACCTCCAGAGGTCCTTAAAGATAGTAGAAAGGGGTCTTTGAGTTACTTTGGTAAATTCTGAATAAAAGACATAGATTTATTCTATTAGTAATGCGCACAGCTTTATCAAATTATCATTTACTGCTGGCATAGTTTTAAAACACAGGTGGCACAGTGGTTCAGTGCTTAGCTAGTCGGTCATCAAATCCACCAGCTGCAGGATGCTTCCATAAAAAATGTACAGCCAAAAACAAACAAAATGTACAGCCTTGGGAACCCTCCAGGCAGTTCTGAGGTCTCATGGGGTCCCCAGGAATCGAATCGACTGGCCAGCACTGGGCTGGTGTTTGGGCCTGGCATCCCTCTAACCCACTAAGAGATTATTGATCTCTTGATTGGTGGTTTAATAAACAGAACAAAGTTAAATAGGCAATGTCACGGGCTTTCCCCCCCCCCCCCAAAGAGTCATTCACCAGGTATATTTGAAGTCTAAGCTCTTTGAGCTATATATATATATATGCACAAATGGTTTAAGTGGAAATCTCCCCCTCCATTTTCAAATATTTCCAACTGAAAATAGTGCTGAAGAGGTTTGCATAATGGGCACCATGGAAAATGCAGTGGTGCTTGTGACTTTCACCATGCTGAGTTGTCCCTGAAAACACTTCAAGGAGTCTAAATATATCGCTCTCCTGGCCTCCCCTCCATCCCTTCCTCAAACCCAAGAATTACTTAATCTAAGACAGATTAACACTGTTGATTTGCAATAAATTTCACACATTAATTTGTAAGCATAGAATCCACTTGTGTACATGAAAGTGTCCTTTGGTGGTGAAAAGGATTAGAAACTGCTGCTGTAGAATCAGCTCCTTTAAGGTACCTTGTGGATAATGTGGTAATGTTGGTGGTTGGTATAATTTTCACTTTCTGAGCAGGATGTCAAGGTTTGAATCCTAGCCAGTGCACCTCATGCACCGTCATTGCCTCTCTGTCAGTGGAAACTCCCATGACTTCAACTGCCTACAGATTGAGATGAAGTAGGAAGAAGGGCCTGGAGGTCAACTTCCTACTTCCAGAATCCAACCAGCAAAACCCGGGGAGACAGCTGTCTGTTCCACGACCAACCATGGGGTTGGCACGAGATAGAGCAGTAATCCCGTCTATTGGGAAGGGAGCTTACTTGACAGCAGCTAACATAGACAACATTAACTTCATATAGTGCCCTTTGTAAGAGTGGTTGATTGCTAGGAAATTTTCATCTGAATTACAGTAAGTTTGAAATGGGATATCATAGACCCCATTGATATTTTATTATGCCACACATTTTATAGAATACAAACTCTTCATGTGACAGGGAGTATAAAATGGTCTGAAGGAGATTTGGTGGTACAGTATTTCAAGGTTAGGCTGTTATTAAAAAGATTAGAGGTCTGAATGTACAGTAGCTCTTCAAGGGGAAGACCACTTGCTTCCAGAAATATTATAACCTAGAGAACCTTATAGGGGTAGTTCTCCTCTGTCACATGGAGTTGAAATCGATTGACAGCAAGCCCCTTTGGTCTCAGTATTATAAGCGCAGTATCTTCATGAGATTTTATTATAATAAACTGTTGAATTATTTATTTGACAGCAAGCACCTTTTGTCTCTATTATAAGCGCAGTATCTTCATGAGATTATATTTTAATAAACTGTTGAATTACTTACTATTACTAAACAAAAATAAAGTTTTATATAAGCGTTAAGGGGTGGATGCTAAGAGTTTGTTGCTTCTTAACCTATGGTACTTTGGTGCGTTTCAAAAGTTCTATTTAGATCAGTGGTTCTCAACTTTCCTAATGCCATGACCCTTTAATACAGTTCCTCATGTTGTAATGACCACCCTCCCGCCCCCCAACCATAAAATTATTTTCGTTGCTACTTCATAACTGTAATTTTGCTACTGTTATGAATAGGGTGACCCCTGTGGAAAGCTTGTTCTATACCCTCACCACCCCACCCCCAACGGGTCATGACCCACAGTTGAGAACTGCTGGTTTAGATAATAACTTCTTGGGCTCTCCTCGTTGACGGTATAGGGAAGGAGCTTTGTTTACTAATCACATCCTTTTGACAGGCCTCTGTAGGTATTTCAACCAGAGCATAAAACTAAAACTTACTGGACAAGGATAGTGCTCATAATTTTTAGCTTGTGTTTTTAGTACAAACTGGTCATGTATGCACTTCGTGTTGCTTATAATATATTGGTTAAACTTCTCAAAGAATACAATGCTTTCATTTTAGAGATTGGATAAAGTGAAGTAAATGTACAGAGTTGCAAAAAGTTAAAATGTGTGCTGGTCTCTTTCATTGCTTTGTTCATTTGTCTTATACTTATAAATGGTTTGTAATAATGCATATTGATCATTCCTTCCCCCGACCCCCAAGGATACTTTGATTGTGTGGTCTGAAGCAGAAAACTATGACTTGGCCCTTAGCTTTCAAGAAAAAGCTGGATGTGATGAAATTTGGGAAAAAATATGTCAGGTAATTTACAAAATAGAAAATCAATGTACTGTCTTTTCAAGTATTTTGCAATTGTTATGTTGTTGTTGTGGCTGTTGGCATGCTTTCAACTAATGTCTAAGTTATTTAATAAATCCAGCATCTTATATAGTTGATCTTTTAAATAAATCCAGCATCTTATATAGTTGATCTTTTAAACTCTCTTGCTGTTTGTGAAAAGCTTGTTTATAGGACTATGTAGTTTATTGACCTTAAGCTGTTCAGCTGCCTCTCAACACTACTCTTGAAAGTGTTTATTTGCATTTCAGTTTTTAAAAATAATGGTCTTTTTAGTGAACATTTACATAGTAAAATTACGTTCCCATGTGACAATTTTTATACAAACTATTTGGTGTCAGTAGGTACAGCATTTCAGTTTTAACAGTCTAAAACCATACTTAATATTCCCAACTTAGATCTGTTTGTTCACTGTCTCATTCATCTCAGTCAATGCTACCCAGTTTTTACCTCTAGAAATTTGGGGTCATCGTCTCTTCCCCTTATTTCTCACCCAGTCCCTCAGTAATAAATCTCAATGCCATTTATACGTCTTCATTATCATGCAATCACTGTCATTTCTTGTCTCGTTTACTGTTTTTATCTTGACTGATTATCTCAAATCTACACAGCTGCTGGAGTGATCCTTTTGTAAAATGCACCTTTGAATGCATCATGCCCTTTCATTTACTTCTGGCTCTTAAAATAAAATCAAAGGTTACATAAGGACTTGCGGGAGAATGACTGTTTCATTTCATCTTGTCGCTCAGTTTGAATGTTCCAGATGATCCTGTGACACTAGTGCCTCGGTCAGGTGAAGTAATCTCCTTTGTCCTTTGTGAACGTGCTTTTCTTATGTGCTCCATTGGCTGACATCCTTGCCGCTTATGAAAGGTTGTCCTTCACCATAGGTATTTTAGCTGGACAATAGTTTTCAGATTTTTAATTCATTGTTTCTAAAGGGTGATCCTGAAACCGTGGGAACTTGATAAAGCCCACTGGGGACACAGTCTTCACATAGGCTAATTAGTGACTCCAGACCTAGACTCGAACTGTTTCTGCACTGCCTAACACCACTTTAATAATGTCTGGTGTTTATGAGAATAACCCAGAAAGTGTTGGCTCTGCGAGCGTAGTTCATAACATGCACAGATGTAGTCCAAACAAACCTATTTAAAGCATATCTCTTAATGAGTGACTGTAGGTAGTTCTCTCAGTAATGCACTTGCTAAAATGCCTTCAAAATATAGGTCTGATCAAAATAGTGACTTTTGAGAAGATCTGCTGGGTCAGGTAAATTTGAGACAAATATCAATCAGCTCAGAAGGTCATTGTGACTGTGTTTTTGTGTTTGGTCTAAAAGGATAATCTATCAGATAGAGTTTCTTGAAAAGACAAGAAAATTAACTAGTGCACTGGTGAGATAACAATAGGAAACTTGTGCCAAGGACTCCCCACCCAAACACAGCAGCATACTTGTTCATTCTTTAAGAATAGTAAGGGCTCTCCTGTGAAAATTTCATTGGGAAACCTTCCCTCATCTACTCTTGCCCCTTCAAACTTCAATTTGAGTCCCTCTAGAATGCCCAAACTGGTGTTTTAATGTGGTTTAAATCAAAGTCTACAGAATTCTTCGTGTGTAGACCTAGTTGGGGCATGTGTTGAGGAAGAATGGGCTCACATTTTGTTTCTATGATTTTGAAGCAGTACTTTTTTGACTTCCGCTCGTACCTTTAGTCTCTAATGCCATAAAATTTTCATCTTTATAGGTGTTTCTGTTCTTTTTTGGACTTCAACTTTTATGTAGTTTATGCATGGTGTTATTTGTCAATCACTTTTTCATGTTTTCTGCCTGAAATTCTTACCCATTTTCTAAATCTTGGCTCAGTCTGTGGGAGCCATTCTAATTTGCTGTCTTGAGGCCTATGTTTCTCTATTTCTTGAACCCTAAGAACAACAGAAAATCTTCTCTCAAGACTGCTTTTTTAAAAATCGTTTTATTAGGGCCTCATAGAACTCTTACCATAATCCTTACATACATCAATTGTGTAAAGCACATTTGTACATTCATTGCCCTCATCATTCTCAAAACATTTGCTCTTCACCTAAGCCCCTGGTATCAGCTCCTCATTTTGTCCCCTGCCTCCCCACTCCCCCCCTCATGAACCCTTGATAATTTATAAATTATTATTTTGTCATATCTTGCCCTCTCCGACATCTCCCTTCAACCACTTTTCTGTTGTCCATCTCCCAGGGAGGAGGTCACATATAGATCCTTGTAATCGGTTCCCCCTTTCCAACCCACCCTCTCTCTACCCTCCCAGTATTGCCACTCACACCACTGGTCTTAAAGGGATCATCCGCCCTGGATTCCCTGTGTTTCCAGTTCCTATCTGTACTAGTGTACATCCTCTGGTCTAACCAGACTTGCAAGGTACAATTCGGATCATGATGGTGGAAAACTGCTTCTTTTTGAAAGCAGTTTTGTCTATGCATCTTTTATGTTTCTTGACCTTCATATTCTGATTTTCTTTATGTGTAGTTGGGTTTCTAATGTCTTTCTCTTTCTCTTAAAGAATATTCTTCTAAGTTTTTTTCTAAGTCTTTATTATGTGTTCATTCTTTATTGTTCTTGTTCTATAAATAGTAAGATGATAACATTGTCACAGGCCTTCTTAGTTATCTTCTTAAACTTCAAGTAGGTAAAAATGTAATTGAGGGGTTTTTTTATATTAACTCAAGGAGATAGCATATTCTCATTATTACAGAATGTTTTCATTGGTGTGTTTATAAGATAAAGCCATAGGTCAGGCATTGGAAATCTAAAGCTATGTAATGATAACTTATGTAATTAAAAAATCCATTGCCGTGCACGAACTGTTAGTGTGCCTACCCTCATTTCAGTGCTGCTGCCCACTGGGCCAAGGTCAGGACCTCACCTTACAGCAATTTCAAGACAAATACTACAGACACTCTTCCCTTCCTGTATCTGACATTCTCATAACCAGGCTAGATAATTTAAGCTTCTTAGATCTTTCAGGCAAGGCCTAATTTTCCGTCCCTTTACATACATTAGCCTGTTGGGCTGCTTAGTGGTCAGTGTCTGAGACATCTAGAGGCGCGTGGAGGCTCCAGCGTTAAGAGTGTGGAAAGAGAAAGCCTCTCATGGCCAGGTCACTTCACCTCCAGCAGATACCCTTGGTGTAGCTCTAGTGCACACCTGGGGACTTCGAAAGTTTCCTGGGTAAACGGAATTAAAGATAACTGAATTTCCCCAGGAACGTTTTGAAGCCCCCTTGTATAAGTTGGAATAATTTTTATAGGACTTCATTTTTCTGTAGTTATACTTGTTTTTTACCCAATTTTGCCTACTCATCTTTTTGGATAGCCATATGCAATTTGAAAGATCCACTTGGTCTAAAACTAGTTTGTACCTGCTATGTGGTGCTTGTTTTCTACAACCAATTAGCATTAAATCTTTTTGTTATTGCTGTAATTTCCCCCCCTATGGTTACAGCATTATGTTATTCAGTATTCATTTGAATTTGCTTAGAGTGATATATTGAAGGTTTTGATGGTGATTTTGTGGAGCAGAACCCTAGGAATGTTTGAGATTTGCCATGGTCTGTTGGGAAAGAGGGCTATCTTTGAGTATAGGATGTGAAGAGTGGTTTTAGAGTCAGGCTTTTGCATGCAGCTTATCATAATCACATAATTACTTCTACCTGTCCCAGAATGTTTTTGTTTGTTATGGGGAAGTTCATGCCATATATGAACTTTGAACATATTTCCTTAAAATTAGACAGGTATGTGCTACTGTATACCCAAAAAGGCATTTGTGTCAAATTGGAAGAAAAAGTTTCAAATTTGAAAACGAGCACTATAGCTTTCATCTAGCATGAATTATTTCTTGTATTTATCCAAGAACATCATTACGATCTAGTGTGTATTCTGTCTGCTTTCATAAATCCTCTCTAATAGGTTCAAGGAAAAGACCCTTCAGTGGACATCACTCAGGACCTTGTGGATGAATCGGAAGAGGAGCGGTTTGATGATATGTCATCACCAGGCTTAGAATTGCCATCCTGTGAATTAAGTCGCCTTGAGGAGATTGCAGAACTGGTGGCGTCATCTTTACCTTCTCCCCTTCGACGTGAAAAACTTGCACTAGCACTGGAAAATGAGGGTTATATTAAAAAGCTCTTGGAGCTTTTTCATGTATGTGAGGATTTGGAAAATATTGAAGGACTGCACCACTTGTATGAAATTATCAAAGGCATCTTCCTCTTGAATCGAACTGCTCTCTTTGAAGTTATGTTCTCTGAGGAATGTATAATGGACGTCATTGGATGCTTAGAATATGATCCTGCTTTATCACAGCCACGAAAACACAGGGAGTTTCTAACAAAAACAGCCAAGTTTAAAGAAGTGATTCCCATATCAGATCCTGAGCTAAAACAAAAAATTCATCAGACTTACAGAGTCCAGTATATACAAGACATGGTTCTACCTACCCCTTCGGTCTTTGAAGAAAATATGTTATCAACACTTCATTCCTTCATCTTTTTCAATAAAGTAGAAATTGTTGGTATGCTACAGGTAAGCTAGATCATTTTTTCCCCTGCTTCAAAAGAAACCCTACTTAACTGATAATGTTTAAGCACTAATTGCAATTAGCTGAAATAATTTCTTTTAAATACCTAAATTGAGTCTTAATTTTGCTAAAGTCTAAGATATATTTTAGTGCTATTATGAGATTGTAATATACAATACTATAAGACCAGAAAGTTGTTTTGCTTGGCAGAGAAAGGTAAATGTGATTGAGAATTTCCATTTGAAAGAATTTATAGAGGAATGTTCTAAATGAGACTGTTAAGTGCTTGGGGATATTAATCTATCAATTATGCATAAAATGGATTGGAAGAAGAAAGAAAAGTGGGATCGTGAAAAGACATGAATGGTAGTGCATATGTCCTATAATATTTCTAGGAACAGCAGGTGATGAGTTGTTGAAGTCCATGTTTTAGTATCATGGGGAGTTGAGTAGAGTTGGCAAATTGACACCATTTATCTTTCCCATATGTGCTTTTTATAAAGGGTGAAAATGAGGGTGGGGACTTAAATGACAAACATGCTTTTGCGTTTCCATGCCACGTGACACTTACGAAGTATATGACTTGGGCCATTACCTGAAGTTTCATTTTCCCTATTTGAGGGATGGGTAATAATGATGCTTATTGTATATGAAAGCTTTGGTGGCATTACTCTGTTAGAGCTGGACTGCCAGCTTCAAGGTCAGCAATTCAAGATCACCAGCTCCTCTGTGGGAAATAAACAAGGCTGTCTTGTCCTGTTTCTGTAAAGGTTAACAGGCTCAGAAACCCTATATTGGGTTACTAAGAAGTGTGATAATGCATGTAAAACATGAACCGTGGTCCCAGCTGTCCCATTTTGGAGAACTACTTTATTTCAATGTCTTCACTTTTGTCACTGTTAAAAAAACAACCGAATTCAAATAGAAAGGTCAGTGTAACTGCTTTCCTAGTGCAAGTACAGTAATACTTTTAGTTCATATTGGCTGATTTGGAGCATTTTCCATTCATTTAAAACAGTATAGGCAATGCAGTCTGGTGAGTGATAATAACCCTCTGTACTAAGCATTATAGGTGGAATGGAGTGGGTGGGAGCAGAGTTCTGGTCCCCGTTTGCGTTTGGTCCTTGATAGGAGCTCATTTTCCTCACCTGTCTAACAGACACAGTCTCTGTTCTGGTCCAGTTTTGATTCTTGGTTTCTTTGGAGCCGTGAGTTCATTCCCTCCCTTATGGTTCTTACTCATTCTATGGTGCAGGAATTTGTTGTTTCTGTGTTTTCTTAGCCTTCGTACTGATCAAATACCAGTTTTAAGTGTGACTTTTAAGTTACTAAGTCTTACTAAGGCTTTTCTGCTGGCTGCCAATGCTGTAGTTCTGTTTCTTGGCAGTTGGGTCTAAAGTGCTATTTAACAGAGGTTGTATTTTATAAACTTTGGGAAGGAGTAGTTGAAGCCCAACTTAAAGTAGAGTCACACAGATACTGCTGTCACACCTTCCCCTACCTGTGGCTGCTAAGGTAATAATGCCCAGTTGGTGGGGTATGTCATACCTAGGATAGGATGCATTTTGTGTTAGGTAGCATTTGGTAGCAAGCTTATGGTAATTACATATGGCCTATTTGTACATTTTAGAACAAGTAAATGTCCAAACCACTACCTCCCCTCCAAAACACGACACACACACACACACACACACACACACACACACACACACCACCCCCACCCCCCTCCAGCAAGTCGATTCTGACTCATCAACCTTATCTAAGGTTTCCCGGTTTGCAAATCTTTACAAAAGATCGCCTTGGAGTTAGCAGTCCCTCACTTAGTATCATATTGCAGATGCTTCCTAAGCACCTGCCTTTGTAACTGGACTTGATAATTGAGTGAACGGTTTTAAAGAGACATGTATTTGCACAGGTGTATGTATGCATACATACATATAGACACAGTGATGAGGTAGTATAGAATCTGTTTTACTAGCTTTGTGGGTAGCCTCCAACCCCATAACCCCTATGCCACCAGATAGGCTCCATCGCCTACCTTCTAACTCTGCTGGACTCTAGGCAAGTTTCTTAATTTGATTCTCAATTATAAAATAAGATGTTCAGATGAGATAGCATCTTCTTTAGTCCTGTACTTTAACTCTAGCTTGCCCAGATTAATTGATTTTGAATCACAGTGGTTAAAGCACTCAGCTGCTAGCTGAAAGCCTTGTGGTTTGAATCAGCCACTCTGGAGAAAGATAGGCATCTACTACGATAAAGATTAGAGCTATAGCATCCCTATGGGGCAGGCCTTCCTGTAGGGTCACCATGAGTAGGAATCAACTCGACTGTCCAATCATTTGCAAAATAATTACTTTCTTGTTTTTTTAATGATTGAGTTTGAATTTTAACAGAATAGTTTTCTGCATCCTTAAAATATGAAAGAAGTGCTTCATTTTCATGTCCGCCTTCTGTTGTCTCAGATAATATTACCGTATGCCCTTACCATTGACATCACTAAATTTACCCTTTGATCTCACAGGAAGATGAAAAATTTCTAACAGATTTGTTTGCACAACTAACAGATGAAGCAACAGATGAGGAGAAAAGACAGGAATTGGTAAGAAATTATATGTTACAAAGGTTATAAAGATAAAACAATAAGTTTTTGATATTCATTTATCATTTTTCCTAATTTCAGGTTAACTTTTTAAAAGAATTTTGTGCGTTTTCCCAAACGCTACAGCCTCAAAACAGAGACGCTTTTTTTAAGACTTTGTCAAACATGGGCATTTTACCAGCATTAGAAGTCATCCTCG